AGGGGGGGATTTAAAATGACAACTTTTTCACAACAAATTTACTTTTTCAACTTAAATTTTGAAAGTGTTCCGGAAAGTCTGACACTTTTATATATATCTTAAATTAATGCTAATGTAATTTACTTTATCATGGAAAAAAAAAAATTCGGACTTTATTTTATCTTCACGGTGAAAATGGCTACCAAAAGCTATTATTGTGTGAAAATTCTCGATTTTATTTTTTACATTTTTAACATTATAATGCTATAACTTATTGAAAAGTTTATGGATCCACACAATTTTTTTTATGAGAAATAATATTTTTTAATAAACCCTTTTTCATTCGACATACTTTATCTTAATCGAGATATTAATCAGGAACCAGCAGATCAAGTAGCTTTTGGAATAAAACACCAATTTTTTTAAAATTAAACACTATCTAAAGATTTGCATCGAAGCGTTTTTTTTGATAGTGATTTTAATCACTGTCAGATATCATTTACTTGATCCAACTATGCCACGTCACCACTGTGCCGCGACCCCCCTGTGCTGGGTTTTTTAGTTTTTTATTTACTTATTTACAATTATTTTATTTTTATTTAGTCTTAATATTTATAAATAATTTCCACTTCACTATGTTTATTTCACTAAATAAATGTAATATATTTTAAGTACACAAAATATTTATCAATATTATTGGTCTATTTTTTCTAATTTTTTCACCCAATTATTCTACATTACTTTAATATTTTTATAAAAATCAATATTAATTAAAGTAAATCTGAACTAGTTCATTAATAATTACCCTCAAAACGCTGTTTTGAGGGTAATTATTAATGAACAACAACAGGTTATTTAAAAACAAACAAACCAAAAAAGAAACACAATTAATAACAATCTTCGCATAATATCGTGGCACTTTCATTGGCGTCGGCGACACGGTGTTCAGCATGATCAGGCGATTGACTACATTGTTTCATAGAAGATATTTTTTCAATAAATTTATTGAGAATGTCGAACAAGAACTCCCTAAAAGTAAAGAGATGAAAGATTTTAGAGTTAAAAAACGATTGGACCAGTCGGATGCATTAAGGAAAGGAAGGCAAAATATAAATTTAAATACATGAAGTTAAAAATTTAGTTTCTTATGAATATATTCAGAGCTAAATTGAATCATGTTATATTGCAAATGCATTCTTTTAACAATTTATACAATTACGTTAAAAAATGTACTCAAAATTGTTATTTGTGGTAATTTTATTTATTAAATATTCTCCGAATATAAAAATATTAAATAAAACAGGTATATTTTGAATAAATATTTTTGTAAATACTGCTGTAGTAGTTATATTAAATACATAGACAAACAAAAAAAAAAAATTTGTCTGTACTTTTGACCGGACCCACCTACGGACATGTATTTCGACCCGCTGAATCCGTTTGGCCCGGTCACCCTCCAGATTTGAGTAAAATGCAAAAACCCCAAAAAAGGTAAAAATTTGCGAAAAACTACAATCACAGCGATAAAAAATGCTTGTGAACCCGGATCAAGTATGATTTTTATTTTTTACTGAATCTGAATCTGAACGTTAATTAGCCTATTGAGCCGTCACAATTTGAAAAAATAGCGAAAAACCCAACAAAAATTGCAATACATCATGAAAAATCGAAAAAAAAAAATTTTTTTTTACATAGATTGAGTATAATTTTTATATATTTTGTTCCACTGAATTTGAATCTCTCTCTTCGTCTCGTTCATTTTTCCTATAAAATTTGCATCCTGAAATAGAGTTTGAATTTGGGGACCATTAAAAATTCCTTACGATCGCTTGTGTCTGCAACCAGAGCATCTCCACGTGGTGACGGTTGGCAACAGAACCATCTGGCAGAATCCTTGAATTAACGGCGGTGTGCCGTCATGGCAGGTACAAGTGATAAGTACTTTACGATGCAAGGATCCGGAAACCCAGTATCGGCGTCTGATCAGGGTTAAAAAGCAGGCCTTGTCTTGTGAGAAACTCGCCACAAACATAACAAAATGAATCAGGACTTATTACAAAGATGGGAATTACTTCTTGAAATGGTATACTCTCCAGTAGTCAAGTATCCCATTACTGAAGAGCTGCAGTCGCTTGATGACGACGCCTGCTTTCTCTGCTTTGTCAAGTCATTAACAATCGTGTTTAATAGATTTTTTCTTATATTTATTTATAAAAAAGGAACATTTTTGCCTTTTTTGAATTTTACTCAAATCTGGAAGGTGACTGGGTCAAACGGACTTCAAATTCGAAATAAATGTCCGTAGGTGGGTCTGGTCAAAAGTACAGACAACTTTTTTTTTTTGTGTGCTGGTGATATTAAAACTGTCGTAATTATCACTTGTAATGCTGGCTTAGCTTAAGAATAATTCAATTATAGAGAAGTTATCGTCTGTGAATTAGACGGAAAATTAAACAAATTATTTATAAATAAAATTACTCTTGAAGGAATCTTTTAATAATCTGTATTTAGTTTCTAGGTATATAGAGCTGCAAAAATACCTTTGTAAAAAAAAACTTTGTACAGAGAATCTGTGAGTATCAATTGTAATAATATAATAATTTAGATAACTCTGTTTTATAAATTTAAAAAAAGTATTAATAATTTTAATTATTATCAATTGCATCCAGTGAACATTTTAAAATATTCTATAACGTTAATAATAATGATATTCGAACTGAATCGAATTGAACTTTTTCCTCGTAAATATTTTGACAATCAAATTAGTATAATCAAATATTATACTGAATTTGTTGAATAATGATATCAAAATTTTTTTGCCTGAAAATGATTAAAATTGATGTTCCTCAGTCCTAAATGTTCAATATTAATTTAAAACTAAAAAAAGAAAACTCACGAAGTCACAAAAATAAAGCACGTAGTACATGTTTAGCACTGATTATGGTAACATTATTCTTAAAATACGCGTATACGTGATTTTTTAGTAATTTTTGTAGCTGTTTAGTAAAACATTTTATATTTTTAGTTTTAAATTAATATTTTAAAAATATTTAAATTTTAAATTTTATCATTCAATAATTTTAGTTCTCTATTTTAACATTTTTTGTTTAAGTTTAAAAAGTATCTGGAATAGAATAACAAACAATATACTAAAACGTGATGAAACATGCCCATACAAAAAATTCACCTATGAAGATTTAAGTTCATTATCTCAATTGAGTAAAATCGATCCAAATTTCGATTCGTAATAATTTGTTGAATTACGTGATAATGAAATCATACCAAACATAATCGAAGCTATGTATAGACGAGACTTTGAAGTCCTTCAGGATTGAAATTCTACAAAAATGTTTCAAGAGTTGAAATACTTTCTAGAAAAAGATATAACTGATCTAAGAATGCATCTCATTCATATAATAGATGTCGACTATATAGAATATATTACTAGCAGACAGATGGTCTAGTTATGAAAATAAAATTTATAGTTCAGAATATACAATCTATTATAAAAGCAGTCGGTTCCACAATAGGTAGTCTTAACTCTGCTATTCAAGCAATTTATAATTGGAATAGGGTCAAAGATTTAAACGAAATGAATCCAAAAGCAGTTTAGCGTTTGAGTTCCTATAACGTTGAAGTCTCCAAAGTATTATTCTGAATTTTTTTTGGACAATAGTTTAATTTTTTGTCTACAGCAATGGAATTATTTTAAGTGACAAACAAAAGAAAATGTATACAACATAACTGTTTTTATAGAACATTTACAAAGCTTATATTTGTTTATCATTTAATAAATGTGATTACAATTTTTGTTTAATTTTCTTAATAAATTTGCCATACTTTAAATAAAAAAAAACACGCCATGAATCTACACAATTTTCCTAATTACGGTTATCTTAAGAATAAATATTCTCATCAAATAAAACCATTTTAACATATAATTACATTATGGCCTTATTAAAACGAACCAATACTAATGAAATTTTCTTAAACTTAAGGAATAATTTTAATTGGTAATGGTTAAAGTATAATGACGACTTTTACAAATATTAGCGTCAAAATTAAATGACACAAATACTTTTGGTTAGTAGTTCTTTAATAAACTTAATTTGTATCAATTACTTATAACTATTAATTTTTTAAAAACTCGATTTAAAATAATACATTCGGAATTCAACAATTATACAATAAATGATTACGATGACAAGAATACCTATCATAATAATTTTTAAAAATTCACAATAACATTGTAGAAACATTTTTTTCAGTCTTTCTCTTATTTAATATAATAAATTAATTTTTAAATCATATTTAAATTATCCTTGCTGTGAAGTCGAAATCGGCCGATGAACAGGAGTAACTCGATGAGTGTTGTTGGTCTGAGTCGAGTAGATGACCTTATATTTTTTTTCGTTATTTGAACACAAACCAAACCTTAAAATAAAATAACCAATATTAATATTTAATCATCATTATAAAATATATGAATTATAATAGTTTTGGTTTGTTATGGACTTCTAACGTTTTGTTCGCAAACAAAGTAAAAAAACAAGTATTTTACACATTTTTTTTAAAAGACAGGAAAACTTATTTAATTAAAAATGAATGTTAATCTCACAGAATATTTAGAAGGAAAAATCAATAGTATTAAGTAATAATTAGTAAAAACTATTAAAATAAACACAACTATAAATAATTTATAAATAGTAGACTTTATACTGCAATAATACGAATGGTGTTAAACCAAACTAAATTAGAACAATTAAAATGTTTGAAAGAAGTATTACTCAATATTATTCAAAATTTTTACGTAAAAAATATAAAAAAAATTACTTAAATTAAAAAAATAACTTTTAAATAAAATTTAATAGTAAACCTTTCTTGTTTATTTATTTCTGTATTGACTTGCGTTACCTATAAAATAAAGCAATTTATTTTTACTAAATAAAATTCGTTAAAACTATTTATTATAGAACTATAATAAATATCCAAAGCACAATACACGTTTTATACAATTATAGTTAATACTTAACTATAAATTATAAAAATTAAAAATTATGTTTAGTAAATATTGTCTACAAACTTTTTTTTGTATTCTTTGTTTTATTATTATACTCTACATTCTTTTAGAAATATGCTTAGCATAATCAAAAAAGTATGTTACTACAAAAATGACCTTAAGGTAGCTCAAATACCTTAATATTCTTGAGTTCATTATTTTTTAAAAATCATCTGTTTATAATCTATTTTAATTAAAATATTTAATTTAAAATATGAATTCTAATAGTAAATACTATTAAATAGTTACACTAGTGTAACGTAGTCAAATTATACATTAGTTATATAGAGTTAACTCGAACTACTTCTTTATCAATTGAATAAAAGATATTATAAAAAAATTCATAGTTATAAAATTACACTAATAAAATCTCTCGTAAATTCAATAATTTTATAATGAGCAGGTTACGTGATAGATTTTCAAAAAAATGATATCAAATGAAAGGTAGATATCTATCGTTTTAGTATAAAAAAAAATTATGTTGATTCGTTGATTTTTCAAAAAGTTATGAAAGTTTTAAGAAAAAAAAGTGAAAAAATTTCGAAAATTAGCGATTTTTAAATTTGTAATTTTTTGGGGGATTTCCCCCATTTGTGGGGAACGAGGGAAAATTGTTCAATTTTTAAGAGTAATGTCTTCAACTAGATACGACTTGTGATCTTTTGACGTATTGTTGAAAAAAATCGGTCCAGTGAGAGCTGAGAAAAAGTGGCAACAGACATAAAAAAAAATAAATAAATAAATAAAAAAAAAAAAAAAAAACATATCATAGTAAAATTAATACCTTCACCGCTTCGCATTGAAGCTAAATATATATATTTTATTCGATTGTCTATATAAAATTTATTTTTATTTTAACAAGTAACGAAAAATAGCAAAGGTTCGTAAACAACTATTAGAATTAAAGAAACTATTGTTAATTATAATTCGAAGTGAAACTCATAAACTAATAATAACATACTCAACTGTAATAGAATATCAGTTCTATTTAGAAAAAGATTTTAACGCTTATACCACACAAAGCTATTTAACAATGGCAATGTATTTCTGGTACCTAATAAGACGATATGAATAGCATTAAACTGAAAACAACATTTTTACTTAGAAAATATAATATCAAATTACAAAATTTTATACTAAGAAGTGTATTTTTACTTAAAAATTAATGTCCTTAGTAGAGAGTAGCTTAAAAATTAAAATAGTAAATACTCTTTACAATATTTTAAAACAAATATATCAATTATTTAAAAATTTAAAAAAAGAGTTTATAATTTAACGATTTTTTTTTTATTAAAAATTGTATTGTGACTTGGCTAATATTATTTACATTTTTGGAAGAGAATGTATTCCAATTATTAGAAATAAATACGAAACTATTAAAAATTAACTAGTTAGTTTCTATGTTGATAATATGTATAAAAATTTAATAAGAAATAATAAATACATGAAATATAATAAAGTATAATTCGATGAAATGGCTTAATTGCAAAATTACATTTGCTTCGGATTAAAAATTATCCGATTTTAAATTGAAAAAATATTATATGAGACAATATAAACAGCATAAATTGTGCAACAAAGCATACAAAAACAAGAATAACACAAAGTTATAAATCTCAAAGGATGTCTGACGTCTAGTTTTTTCAATGTTATAATAAAACGTACTTCAACAAATTCTTTCTTATTATACTTATAATACAACAGAAAATAAATATCTAAGTGATCAAAGTATTTTAAAACTTATAAGTTCATCTATGTTGATATTCTTTTTCATCTGATCCTACAATAAAATTTTACTTCTATTTTTTCTCCATAAAAACTTATAAAAAAAAGTTATTCGATTTTTATTAGTTTTTAAGAATGTAAAATATAAATATAATTTATATTTATAAAATTATTTAAACGTAGAAAACAATGTATATTTAATTAGAAATATAGAAAATTCATAGCACATAAGTCTCAATCGGATTAAAGGATGACAGATAAGTCTTGTTGGATTCAAAAAACGTACTTTAGAGTATATTTATTGTTCAGACGTTTTGTTTCATCCAACTGTTAGTAAGGAAACCACATTTAAATTCTAATCGTGAAGATAAAATTTCAACGATATCATTTAGTCCACCACTAAAATCGTATTTTTGTTGGACAAAAATAACAAATGGACATTATTATTGCAAAAGTTATTTTAGGAAAGTAATTCCATAAGGTTCATTTTGACTTATGGAATTTTTACCTATCTGATGTCATCTTAAATAAAATCCTAAACTATTGAATAGCAAATCAAGATATGAATTAGCTCTGGTTAAAACTCACAGTTGATGTATTTTTGATACTTTTTATTTTGTGAAAAAATTGATTCCATAAAAGACAATACAAATTCTCAAAACTAGAAGAAAGTTGATATATTTCTTAAAAGACATAGACTTTATATAAAAAAACAAATAGTGTACTCAGATTTTCTTTGGAATAATATGGTTTATAAGTCATTTTATTTAACAATTATTTCACCAGTGTAATGCTAAATAGAATTCAAACAAAAGAAATAATATATATATTATTCTAATTACTAAAATAAAAAAGCAAATTATTTTTCCAATGTTGTATATCTTTATACATTACGAGTTTTACAGAGTAAAGACAGTTTACGTAAAACTCTCTCAACAAAATTTATTAAAACTTTAAGCTCATAGCTAGTTCATTTAAAAGCTGTTCTGTTTTTTTTTCATAAATAAAAATTTAAAAAAAAAGTTTAAAATATTTTAACAATTGAACGATGTGAAACACGATAAAAATAAAGTGAATTACTTGAAATGTTTGTCTAAAAAACAAACATTATTATTTGTAAAAACTTTAAGTCGACAAGAGAATTTCAAATCTATAGACATTCATCCTTCTTATCGATAGCTTAAAGTAATATTTAAGATAGGTTTTTATTTTGTTTATGTTCAAAAATAGCGCAATAAAAGTTTATTAATAATATTATTTATGCCAAATGTCTAATCTGTGAGTTTTTCATGTAACCTATTAACGATAAAATAACGATATAAAATTAGCAAGTACTAGGTATGCAATACTCTTTTCCGAATACAACATTTTACGGAAGTTACACGGCAACCCACACTTATGTCGGTCGGAGTAGAAAGAAAAGTATGCAATATCTGATCAAAAACGTTGACACAAGAGAGAATGTAGACATAATACATTATTATAAAATAATATATTATTATTAACATTATTTATCAAATAAATAATATTATGTTTTAAAGTGTGAATGTGATAGTAAAGATATGGTATAAGTTGAGCTTTTCAAACAATAAAATTTGAAGTAAATAATCTAATAAGCATTTTTAAATACATCAATGTATTTTACTGAAAATTATTTTTTAAACAAAATTAATTAATTATTAGTACAAGTAATTTCTGTACTGACTTTTACAAGAAACAGTGGACAGAAGGGCAGAGTCATCAATGTACTAGAGTCCTGTATTTAAAATGGGCTAACAAGTGTAAATCAATAATAAAAAAGGTCTTTCACACTAAAAAAAAATTAAAAAGGGGCTAACCGGTTATTAAAAATAACCGAAATATCTGATGCCAATACTGTCAAAAATTACATACAACCACTAATATTCAATTTATTTGCAATAAATATATCATAAAGTTTATTTTTCAATTAGGTTTTAAATTTCATTAATTTAGTGGCAATACTTATTAAAGTTCCAAGTCAAAAATTATATCATAAATAAAATAAAAATTGAACTCATAGTTAGTTAACACGTGAGAAAATTAATGTTATTTGATGATAATACATAATATATGCTACTTAAAATATAACTACTTAAAAAGAAATAAATAAAAACAAAGAAGAACTAATTATTCAATAGAAATTTACCAAATAACTGTTATTGTAAAATTTTATATCCTATTAAACACTTATATTTGACAATTTTATTACAAAAAATTATATAACAGTATTTATAAGATAATTCTATAACATAATAAAAGTTCTATACGGAATACACAAGAGTGAATAAAACTAGAATTGTATTTTTTTTTAGTTGTCAACAATAAGCTTTACTTAGGTAAAATTTGTTTTGTATAAACCAATTATATTTCCAATATTACTATAAAAAAACCATACATTTCTCTGCGTGGACCCTTAATAAGGTATATACAAACTAATATATATGTAACTAATATGTTTGTACACGATCAAGATAATAATTGAAAATATTGTAATAAAATCGATTGCAATAAATAACTAGCTAAGTTATACTTATGTAAAAGTTTATAGTGGCTTAGCAAATTTTACGTAAAAATATATGCATTTCCTTTAACGGGAGCTATAAAAAACAGAAAAGGGTTTCGTTGCAGTCACGTTAGTTCTTTTTTTATAGACTCGTAATACGTTTAAGTAAAAAATAAAATTTAATGACTTTTTTGTAATGTTAAAATGTTGTTAAAAATTGATCATTATCGTCGGCTTTTAATAACATATCATTATTTTATTAAATTATTATTGACATAAAGCATGACTATATTATTTTAAAAATAACTCAAGGTCAAAAAATATGTAACGATAAATTTACGAAGGAGATGTAAAATATTATACTTGGACAAGGTATTATTCTTTTGAACTAGAAGCCATTAGAACATCAAAATATTTTTTTATGCTCAGACTATATAAACTACAATACACAAAAATACTTTTCCAAATTACCTTACCAAAAACATTTACTTCTTTAGGCAGTAAACCTATAAATATGTATGCGTAGTATTTTCTTTTACTTTTTTATGAAGTCACTTTATAAAAATTTGTTAAACTAATAAAGCAGTGATAATTTGTAGATAGAAAATTATAATATCTTAGTTTATCGTAACCATTAAAATCATCAATAATATTCGTTATTTAATTTTGAAATTAATCTTTAATTTTTAAAATTCAAAATATTTTATTTTTGTATACAGTTAAATAATAAAAAAAATGCAAACGTACTAAAACATAAATATTTCTACTTTATATACATTTATATTCTAAATATTAGTCTTAGAATATAAAAATTGTTATAAATAGTAATAGTGGAAAGATTAAGGATGTACCGCAGTTCAGTGTTACAGTTTTAGGCAAACTTTATATTATTATAACTTTAATTAATAGACAGTAATAAAAAAATTTAAATAAGATTGTAAAATGTAATAGTATCAATATGAATTACTTTTTGTGTACCAAATATCATTCTTTTTATCATTCAAAGAATTTTCTAAGTAATTATCATTATTATTTAATTATAATTGATATTTGAAGACTCTTCAATGCCTACACATACGTGTAGCTGTATTGCCTACTCATTGTGCCGTATTAAAATAAGATATTTTTATTTGAAAAGAATGAGACAAATGCAAAACTAAATATTGAAATAACCACTCTTTCAATTAAATTTAAGACTGCAGTAGATTATTTTTTTAAAAAAGTGCTATTTATCGTTGTTAACCAAAATTAATATATTTAAAAAAATAGCATTGATCTTTTTTTAGTTCAAACGTCTCGGAAACAATTTTTTGTCATTCTGATCCCTTTAGGTCTAGATGACTCAATAAACTTGATAAAATCAACTAGGTATAACGTTTGAATTGTAATTTTCGCATGTTATTTCTTTAGTTTTATTTTAAATAAGTATATATCTCGTAAAAGATTTTTCATAAAAAATATTTTTTTATGGCTACGTAAATTTTTATGTGCTATTTTGTAATTTAAAAACAGTACTTACTTCGTAAATGTAGACACGATATCCCGACGAAAACTGGTGGTGAGAATCGTATACAGGAATGGATTTGCGCACGAGTTGATTGGATAGAAGAAGACCAACAGAATTTTCGACTTTGTAACATCGATCAGGGGGAAACCAAGCAAGGCAGTGAAAGCAAAAAATATAACGGGAGCTGTACAGGCAAAATTTGTGCCCACTAAAATAAAAATCTTGCGGGCAATACAAGCTTCACCTGAGGCATGTCTGGTCTCGTAGCTAAGCGACGTATAAATTTGCACATAACAGAAGAGCATCAACACGAACGCACCACTGGCGAATAGTAGTAGAGTAAATATATAACACACGCTGCTCAATTGAGTTGCATCCATCGGCAAACAAATACTTGAGAAAAAAAAAATAGTACACACATATCATTAGTACAAGGAAAATAAAAAATATCAGCAATATCGGTGACGTACATGACGGTTACAACGCAATGAAAAAACACACATTCAATTACTTTGTGAATCCTAAAACGGTTGCGTCGAAGGGTCTGTATTAAAAAGCAACAATCGTCTTAAACAAAAAAAATTGAAATTGCAGTGTTATTTTGTTCGTGCATTTTTAAATACTATTTATTGAGAAAAAATCGAAAACGTTTTTGTAGAAATGTTTTAATACATTCAAAAAAAAATTATTTTTACCAAAAGATTTTCCGTTAAAAACGTATCATTTATACATGTATATAGTGTATATTAATCGTTATCGGGTTTATCTCGAATTTTAAGGAGTTAATTTTTTAATCATTGGAATAAAAAGAATATCACGAAAATGTTTATTGGTTTATTATCAATTGATTAGCTCAATTCAAGTTTGAAAAAATTTTATTAGAAATTATAAATTTATGTCTTATTTAAAGCTTTAATTATACTTTTTTTAATCAATACTAAATTTCAGATTACAATAGAACCGTACTTATTATTATCATTACATTATTTTTAAAGAATGCTTGTAATAAACCTGTCATATTAAATTTCATCGAGTAAAACAATAATGAATGATGAAACGTAATTCATTTACAAGTAAATAAATAATATGATAATATTTAGAGTAAAAAATAAAACGATAAAGATATATCTTATAATGCTAATGTATCTTCGTTTAAAAATCAGATTTAATATTAGTAAAATGTTAACGATTTGACTGTGAAAACGTGTTAAACTAAAGTTTTAAAAGGTTAATAATGAAAATATCATAAACATAATTATATAGTAGGAAGTCTTTCCATTTAATATTTCCTCATTTTGTGTATATATTAATAAGAATTTTAAGCCTGCCACAAACATTCACAGACATTGTTATGTACCTATTGTAGATAACCTACCTTGTTGTCGAGTAACTTGATATACCCATCAGAGGTAAGCTGGCCATTGCCAACGAATACACCCAACCGATAGCCATTATCTTGACAGCTGAAGGGAATGTCAGTTTGTTAGTGTACAGAGCTCTTCTAATAGAAAACCATCGTTCTATCGTCAGCAAACACAAAGCGAACACTGAAAGTTGCGATGAAAAAACAGTAAGAAATCCTCCTACTTTACAACCGACACCTAAATATATATATAACATATAAGTTAAAAAATTCAATTCATCGTTAAGCCTGATTCTTCTTATTTAGATTAGGATATATAGTTAAAAATTAACACTATTAAATTATTAATAATTATACCAAATACAATCAGTAATTATCCTTAAAAATAAAATTCACAATTTAACTGGAAAAATAAAATTTAAAAGTTTTATTTCTGCAAAAAAAAAAAACACTTAGAAGCAACAGACAGTTTTGCTAAGTGAATTATATCCATTACCTACTCGTTTATCTAAGTGTAAAAACATAGTTACTATATTATGTTCAGTTATAATTAGTAAATAAATTGATCCTCTGAAAGTTTTTTACGAAAATCGCATTACAAATTCAGAATTTGAAAATGCATAGTTAAATATTTTAAACTCCTTCATAACAATAATTTGTTTAAAATATTTAGGCGTTCCTTTTATGCATAATTCTATTATAATTCTAACATCTTCTATAGAAAATGTTTTAAATGACTTTTAGGAAAGAATCTTGAAATATTGATTTTAAAGCGTTAAGTTATAAATTGTTAAATTTTACTGAAAATTTCTTTTAGTTGCAGTAAATGAAATAAAAAAAAAATAATTTAAAATTTTTAGAATCTAACTCATACTTTATTTTATGAAGATATTTACATATAAATATTTCGAATGTTATTAGAACAATAATTGTTCAGTTATTTTTTATAAACAATTGTTATTATTGATGAATAAAATAACCAATATTTTCAAGTATTATTTTTAGAAGTTACTGTTATAATTATGAATGAAATGTTACACAATTATTACTGTGTGTAACTTAATACACTTATTGGAAATTCCAAATTTTTTTAAGAGACACAAAAGAATATATTTTGAGATGATTTTTCTTTTTTAATTAATCATTTTCTTATTTTTATTTTCATTAAATTAGTTGATTTAATTTAATAATTATTAACTTTTAAATTTGCTTAGCCCTAAAAAAATTGATAAAATAAGACCTTCTTAAAGAAATATTTTAATCTTTGAAGTTTATTATTATTTTATAGCAAAGCACCTGTTATAAGTATGAAATATTATACATTTTTTTCATAACTCTATAAAATTAATGAAATCATAATACTTATTAGTAATTATCACAGAGCCTACTTTGGTTATATCAAGTAACATATAAACACTAATTATATAGTACACATTTGGAATACGGTTTTAAACTAGAAATAAAAAAATTTGTAATCAAATTAGTACCTTTTTTGATTGTGCAAAATATCTAATGTAAAAAACCTAGTACAATTCAGATAAAATGAACACGTAATAGGTATTGGCTTAATTCTTTATAAAAATAAAGACCAAACTACAAAAATTGAGTCCATAGTATAATAAAATAAAATAATATTTGTTGATTACACAATGTTTTAGTATTCGTTTAATGTTAATATTTAACCACAGTATCAAACAGTTAAAATGAATTATATAAAATTTTTATACAAGTCGAAAACGAATTTTACAAAAAAATAACTATTAAAAATAAATTATTAAAATTTTCAAATTAATTATTCCTAGCAGATCTCAAACGATCAGGACGGCATGCTTCCCTTATTTGACAAAATATTAGCCTATTCGACAAATGTTTAGTTAAAATTATCATGCTATTACGAGAAACATTTTTTTCGGCAATTTTAAATTCTACATCCCTACTTATAACAGAATTTATTTAAAGTTGACAATTAATTATAAAACATTGAATATCCAATAAATTTAATTTTTAAACAATAAAAAATATATTGAGCATAATTTTTTTCCAATATTCACCTGTTTGCCAATGATAAGCATAATTGAAATACTTGTCACTCGATTGTAAATCTTGCCATGCCAATAACAATAAATAAATAGCTGTACAAAAGTCAGCAAATGCTAAATTGCACATTAGAAATCTCGGAACAGATTTGTTTGCTCTTTTACGAATCATTACTAGTAGTACGACCATATTTCCTAGCAATGCTGTTACTCCGACTAACCATACACATAACCGTAGCCAATAAAATCCCATTATGTCCTCGCATGGATTTAAAGCGTCTGGACGCGGCAAACATTTTACTGACAGTTTACTGAAAGTAACAACGGACTAATAATAGTATTAATCTAAAACAACTAAACTCATTAAACATAACTACCACTACTTAACTAATACTTTAGTTTTCGACAAAAAAATTTTTCTCATTAAATACCAATTAAAAGTAAGGAAATTCTCCTAATGTGTAAATTGTTATTAAACAAAAATTTTTCAATTTTTGAAAAATATAATAAAAAAATAGATGAAAAATATTTATAACTACATTGAAATTAAAAAATTTAAATATAAACTATTCAATAAAAGACAACATAAAAAAATCATATATAATAAGCTAATATAATAGATAATATACAAATGTGTAAGTCTTTATAAAATACTACTGAAGTTCAATACATTGTATACGTTTTTTCACAAAAAGCCTAACAAGTGGCGGAAATGAGAAGGGGTTAGAGTGATAGATCCCACCCCTTTTTTTACATATTTGTATAATATTCATTGCATGAATTTTATACTTGGTAACTTAATTCAATATATTTCAATTTAGAAGTAAAAAATATGAAAAAAATATTAATCCTATAAATTTAGTAGATTTAAATTTTAAGTATTGGTTATTATTTATATGTAATTTCAACGGAATACTATTATAAAATAAATTAAATATTTGAAATAGGTTTAATCAATAAGAAAAAAAACATTTATGCATATATAATAGTCAATAATAACATCTGAATATAGTAATATAAATAAAAAAGCTCTGAAATATGGGGACACAGTTACAGGATAATTCTTATCATAAAGGGCTTTTATTACCTCCCATTACACATTTATTTAAACCCCATTGGCGTAACAAAATGCTAAAGGTATGACATAGTAATTATTATACAACAATACAAATATTAAATAACTATTACGTTATTGGCGTTATATTGCCACACACGACGTCTAAATTTCCCGTTGATTTAGCTGGCTCGTGAAAAAATTCGTCATCATAATTATCAATGTCGTCAGTTTTCCAATTAGTCATTGTTGGATTCACTAAAACTTCATTTGAAATTCTTGAATTTTCGCAATTTTTTTGAATAGTTTGAATATTTGCCTAAATATAAGATAAATATAAAAAAATTACAATAAATTAAGCGGCGATGGATTAAAAAATTAATAATCTTGTTGCACAATCGAAAACTTTAATGAAAAAAATAATTAAGATGATCAATATTGAGTCTAAGATGTAAAGGAACACTTTTTTGAGAAATTCAAACATCAAGTGTCAGATCTACTTTAGAATAAGATATGCTACATCTTTCGGTTTAAACTTGTCTATTTCAGTGACGCTAAATCTTCAATTTGATATATTTAATATAAACAACATTTTAAAATCTACACAAAAAATTACTTATTCAAAATTTTTGTTTTAATCTTTCAATATTTGTACAGCTATATAGTGTAATTTATTTGTTAAAATATTCTCTTGGTGATAAAGTTAAAGATTTACTTTAGGGAATAGTTTTCACTGTTTATTAAAATAAAATACATGTAAATGATGATTTGACTCTTGAACACTGAAAACACAACATATTATTATTATAGGATCAGAGACGATAATTTTTCTGTTATTTGAATTAATTGTATACGAGTAATGAAGACTATTTTTAATATATTTTAAGAATCATTATAAAATTTAATATTTTCACTTAAGCCAAAAAAATTTATTTGTCTCATAATAAAAAAAATTGTCAAGTTTTTAATTAATATTTTTACATTAAAAGTCAAAAAATGAGCTTGATTTTATATTATTTAAAAATAAAATCAATGAAACTAAAAACATTGTTTTTAGTTATTTTCACTACATAATTTAAGTGCTATACAAAAATAATTTTTCGTATAAGTAATATTACCTCTCTGTATTCAAAACTCACTGCGCGATGAAATAAACTGAATAAATTGATGTTTCATAGAAACGATTTAGTGTTACATACTTTAAAATTCTAAGTTGAATACTGCATTGTTTAAAAAAAATGTTGTAGCTTTATAGTTTTTGTTATGAGTATCTTTTTATGTGTTTATAAAGTTAAAAATCATAACGGAAACTATTACACTAAATATCCGTGTGATATAAAATGCTAACATTAAAAAACATGAAGGGATTTAAGGAGCTCAAATCTCTTTAGGTTACTCCTTTAACATTTTAACTCTTATTTAAAAAGTCTTTCTTAAAACATATTTATTTTACATTTTGAACCCAACAAAAGCAGTTCAAAGATTAATAATGATAATGTTATAGCAACATTACTTAAGAGACAAAGTTTTATTTTTCGAGTTATTTGGTTAGCACCAAAAAATATTATTAATACATTTACCGCGAGAAATAAAACCTTACAATAAACGATATAAATAAGTAAAAAATATAATGTATAATAACTCACTTGAACTATAGAATCCGTAGAATAGTCATGTTTGGCGGGAAAATGAAAAGCACAACAATGAAAAGAATATGTCAAGTAAGCTTCTTTTAAGTTCTAAACTCCAACATAACATTTAATAGATTTTTATTTTACTACAATTTGTTTTAAATATTTTGGTTTAATAATATATAATTTTTTGACTAACCCCAAAAGAATAAATTGACGGTATTTTTGTTAAAGACGGTGTATTTTCAATCCAAAGTTTTTCAATACTCATCATTCCTAAAGTTGGTAAAATTTGCATGGCAGTATCTGATAAATCGCTACACAATTAATTGAAAGATTATTTAATACGGTTTAAACATCAATATGAATGATTAACTAAAAATTAAAATAGCAGTAATTATAAGGTTCTTTATCCTTTAATATTAATAAGTAAAAAAAAAGCGTAAATATAAAAGAACTATTTTTAAAAATACTCTATACGTAAAATAATTTTATGGTAAGGGTACCTAAATTATTTGATAAACAGATTATTAGCATAACTAGACTTTTAAGAATACTAATGTGGGTATTATAAAATAGAATAGGCTTGAAAAACTTTTTATTATTTTATTTTGATATTTACTTTGTTTAAATTTTAACATAATGAATAAAAGTATACTTTGCCCGCTTTCTCACTTATTATGCACTATAAAACTAAATACGTTACTGAAAATTAGAATAAAAAAAAAAACCCAGCACAGGGGGGTCGCGGCACAGTGGTGACGTGGCATAGTTGGATCAAGTATAATGATATCTGACAGTGATTAAAATCACTATCAAAAATAAACGCTTCGATGCAAATCTTTAGATAGTGTTTAATTTAAAAAAAATTGGTGTTTTATTCCAAAAGCTACTTGATCTGCTGGTTCCTTATTAATATCTCGATTAAGATAAAGTATGTCGAATGAAAAAGGGTTTATTAAAAAATATTATTTCTCATAAAAAAATTGTGTGGATCCATAAACTTTTCAATAAGTTATAGCATTATAAAGTTAAATATAATATAAATAATAAAATCGAGAATTTTCACACGAAAATAGCATTCGGTAGCCATTTTCGCCGTGAAGACAAGTCCAGAGGTCAAATTTTTTTTTTTCAAATTAAAGTATATTACATTAGCTTTAATTTAAGATATATATAAAAGTGTCAGACCTTCCGGAACATTTTCAAAAGTTAAGTTGAAAAA